AACCTGCTGAAGATGCCCAGTGTGGCCCAGTTTGTGCTCACGCCCAGCACAGAGGTGTCCGAGCCTCGTTATCACCGCGACACCAACACGGCCCTGCCGCTGGCCCTGCGCACCGTCAGCCGGCTGCTGGAGAAGGAGGTGGGCCTCCTGCCGGGGTGAGGGGCAGTGAGCAGGTGGACGCCAGCCAGGGCGCAGGTTAAGGGCCTGGCATTAGGGCCGAGCCCAGCCTTCAGCGATCAGAGGGGCAAGCAGGAGGGGCCTGTGTCCCTCGGTGCTGGTCAGGGCCGTCTCGACCTCACCCTGTGGTGTCTCTCTAACCCCTCTCCCTGGTGACCATGCTGAGCTGTGTGGTGAAGCTGCTCTAATTCGTGGCTCTGGCCCCCTTGGGGGCTGGATGGGAGCTGCCTGGTAGGTGTCCTTGCTGTAGTAGTTTGGGGACAAGAAGAGATCTAGCAAAAATAAACCTTTGACAGTTTCTCTGTGCATAAGGCAAAGTTGCTTCCATTTTCTCCACCCAGAGGAGAAGGCCAGGTATGGGGACCCCCGCAGGCCTGGGGGCACTGCCCAGTACTTCTGGGCTGGGAGAGCTGGCCTGGGGGCATAAGGGGCCCTTGCTGGCCAGGCCAGACACCTGGGCTGTTCCTTCCCATTCAGTCCCAACAAGTAAGGGCCGAATGCGATGCAGCCTCGATGTCACAGGTGTCCCATAAGCTGCATCGGAAATCCACAGCCAGGAAGGAAGTGTGCGACGCGCCCAGCTGTCCCTGGGGAAGTGTGCTGGTTCCGTGTGCTTGTTCAGGGTGCCTTTTCATGCCCCTGAATAACTTAGGGATGGGAAGGCTGGGGCCTCTGCTGGGTGGGCTGGAGGTGCTGTCACCTTTACAGGCCTAAAGCCTCCTACCATTAAGAGGGAAGGCAGGACCCACCCAACGGGGCTCCCAGTGACCCCGACACCTGCGACCCGAGCCTTACTCAGACTAAGTCAGGGTTTGCTCAGGGATTATCCCAAGTGGGGAGATAGCTAGGTGTGGCCGGCAAGAAACGTCCCCAGCCCCAGCGCTTCCCACCAGTTGCATTCAAGTCAGCCGCCGCTTGCAAAGCAACCCCGGGGCCGCCAGGTGGTGCTGCTGCTCCGCGATCCTGAAGCCCTCGGCCCCGCCCCGCCCCGCTCGGCGCAGGCTCCGCCCAGGCTCCGCCCGGAGCCCCCGCCTCCAGCAAGTCTGTCCCTAGGCGTCCTGAGAAACGCCAGCCGCGGAAGAGAAACGACAGCCGATACCGGAGCTGGCACCGCAGGGGCCGGGCGCGGACCTGGCAGGGAGCGCCCGCCTCTCCTCTGCCCAGCGTCCGGCCTCAGGGCGTTTTCCGAGAAGCGACAGGTGACGCGCGCGCGGAGCAGCGCCGTGGGCGTCGGTGCGGGCGTGCCGTGGACACCCTGACTTCCCGGGACGGGGCAGACCCCTGCCCGCCGCCCGCCGCGGCCCACCGCCCCTGCTGGGTCCTCGGGACCCAGTGTCCGCGGATGCCAGTGTTGAAGATACGTTCATCGGCGTCACCTGGGTCCCCCACTCGGCCCCGCAGCTGGATTCGGACGAGGCCGCGGCCCCTACCCGCGGAGGAGCGCAGTGAAGGGCTGAGACCGGGGATTCGCCAGGCGTCGGGCCCGCTGCCAGCCTCCCCGAGCTCGTCCCCTCCTTCCAGTTAAAACGTCACTGATCCAGCCTTTGGGGACTTGGCCTGTGGGCGACCGCGATCCAGCGGGTGGATCCTGGCCTAACCTGAAGGCTGGGCAGCCGCATCTGCGCTCGCCAGGGGGCGCCGTGGAGCCGCGTGGGGCCCGGAGCTTACAACCAGCACGGACCTAGCACGCCCAGGCGAGGCGAGGCGGGGCGGGGCGGGGCGGCGGGCTCCTCTAGACCGCTTGCCACGTGACGGCTGCGTCTGCAGCTGACTGGCCGGGGTCCCCTCCTCCACGGGGTCTCTCTGCGCTGTGGAGGACGTGGGGACCCACCAGGCTGCAGAACCTGCCCAACCTGCGGAAGATGCCCCGCTGGGTGGCGCTGTCCCAGCCTCGCTGCCCTGGCCACTGCAACACGGCCCTGCCGCCGACTCTGTGCAGGGTCAGCCAGCGGGTGAGAAGGCCGACCTCCTGCCAGGCGAAGGGACAGTGACCAGGTGGACACCAGCCAGGCCACAGATTAAGAGCGTGGTATTAGGGCCGAGCCGAGCCTTCAGTGATCAGAGGGGCCTGTGTCCTCAGGTCACGACTTCCCTTTATTAGCATCTGGGGCTTCTAGACTTTTTTTTAGGGACTGTGCTGACTGAGCGTGCGGGTCCCGGGAGCAGCCTGCACCGAGGGGTGACTCTGGCCTTTTCCGGGGGCCAGGCTGCCCGCTGCCCAGCGTGTCCCGTTGCTCCTGGTCTCTGGGCAGGGCGAGGGCAGACAGAGGGTCCACCATCACCATGTCCCCTGCATCCTCTCAGGGTCTCTCCTGTGCTGGAGGGGAGGGGATTGGGTCCTGTGGGGCCCCGGGGGGCCCAGCACAGTGCCCACCCCAACTCCACACACCATCCCGTCCGAGAATATGAAAGATAGTTTATTTAATCTATACGTCTCCGTTAAACTCTTAAACATAAAAGCTCTGTAACAAACATCACAATTTAGTGTCATCTGTCATATAAATAAAATATACACTAAGATGTACATTATCCACAGGGTGGGGGCGGCCGGTGTCCTAAAGGTGACATGCCACTTAGGAACGCTTGGCCGGACCTCAGGGCCGGGTGCACCGGGGCGCCCCCCAGCCCCCTTAGGGAGGGGGCGATCGGAAGCGGATCTTCTTGGCCGTCTCCACGTCCGACTTGGCGACCAGAAGCCGCATCTTCTTCCCGCCGTGTCGGATCAGATCCACGGCCCTGAAACCCAGCAAAGGGGCGAGTACCGCGTGGAGTTCACACGTGTGGGCTCACTGCCACCCAGCCACCGGGCAGGCAGAGCCTCCTAGAGGTGCCCAGGAGGAAGACCCCAGTGCACGGGGCTGTGTGAGGGCCCGGCCACCCCACCTCGAGGTGCCCGACCCCTGGGGAGCTAGTGGTCCTCAGGAGTCCAATCGAGGGGAGGGAAGGGTAGGAGGTGGCCCCGGAGGGCTGGGCTGGGGGACTGTGCTCATTGCTAAAGGGATAAGGAGAGGACACGATCATAGGAGCCGAGGTCACTTGTCCTGCAGGTGGCTCTGACGCCCACACAGACCAAGGTGTGTGTGGGGGGGGTACCTCAGGTAGCTGACGCCCATCAGGCTGCTGCCGTTCACCTCCAGGATGCGGTCCCCCAGTGACAGCCGGCCGTCTGCCGCCGCCGGGCTGCCCGGGAGCAGGGTCTGGATGTAGAGGCCGGGGGCGCCCAGGGGCGTGTGCTGGGGGGACACACAGGCCTCAGGGCTCTGCAGCCCCTACACATGGGCAGCCCCAGCGAGGGCCACCTCAGCCCCACTGTCTGCTGAGAGGCCCAGCCTGTCATCAGTGTATCTGAAAGGACAGCACTGGACTCCATGACTGTCCCCACGAGCTCAGGACGCCCTGCGGTGACACAGCAGGCCAGGGGAGGTGGCTACCACATGGGGCCCTTTTCTTTCTCCCAGATTCCACAGAGATGCCCCACCAAGCCCCGGGCCCCACGCCCGTGGTGGGCCTCACCCAGCTGCCCCAGTGACCACAGGTCCTAGGGTCCCAGCTCTGGGGAACGGGACACCGTCACTGACCAGGAGGAGCCCAGGGCCGCTCACCGTCCCGTCGATCAGGCCCATCCCCAGGCCGGAGGGGCCTCGCTCCAGCTCCACCAGGAAGACGTAGCAGAAGTCCTCGGTGCTGGAGCTGCGGCTGGAGGGCGCCGGCGGGGGCTGCATCTCGGCCGCCACACAGTCTCCTGAGTGGGCGAGACAAGGGGCAGGGAAGGGGCCTGCACCTGCCCCGTCCAGGGCCCAGGGACGCTGGCCTGGCCGCTTCCCCAGAGGACGAGTGCTCACGGGCCCATGAGGGAAGGCTGAGCGGGGGTGGGGGGCCGTCTGTGGGCAACACTGCCCTGTGCCTGGAAGTGGCACCCGGGCCCCCTCTGTGGCTGCCCCAGACACCGGCCCCTCTCAGAGGCCAGCTGTTTCCAAGAGGCCGAAGCTAACACCCAAGTCCCCCTCCCCCAGCCACCCCCGCTCCTCCACCCACAGGACCCCTCTGAGCCACACCCCTCTCCCGCCATACCTCTAAGTGGTGACTCCACCTGTCCCTCCCCTGAGTGTGTGACCCTGCCCTCACCTCTCTGATGCTGAGCACAGGTCATCCGAGCCACGCTTCCCGTGCGAGTGACTTAGTCCCCAGAAGACTGCATGGCCCAGCCGCCCTGCACCCTGGCCCTCCCCATCCACCCCTGGCCCTCCCCATCCGCCCCTGGCCCTCCCCATCCGCCCCTGGCCCTCTCGTCTGCCCGAGCCTTCCTGGCACCCAGGGCTGCGGGCTTTCACGAGAAGGGACTGAAAGCCCAGGACGCACGTGCCCCCGGGACGCTGTGGGTGGAGTGCGCCAGCAGGGCCTGGGAGCCAGGGTGTAGGTGTGGACAGGAGACAGGTCTCACCTTCCGGAGTTGGCCCCCGGGGGCCACACGGTCCACTCCTCCTCCCGCCCAGGAGCGCCTTCCCGCAGGGGCCGCCAGGGGTAGGCCAGTCGGGGGCGGCGGGCTCAAGCGGGGTGCCGGGAGGTGTGAGCAGGCAGGAGGGGTCCGTGTGCAGAGCGCCGGGCTGGGGGCCCCCGTGGCTCCTTCCTGGAGGGCCCTGTGCCCGGGGAGCCCCCGCAGAGGGCGGAGGATGCGCCAGGCCGGCCTCACAGGCTCCCCTGCCAGGGTCCCTGGGAGCCAGGGGGCAGCTCTGGCCCTCGGGGTACCCCTCAGGGCAGGGAGAGTTCAGGCCCTGGACGAGAGAGAAAGCTCAGGCACCAAGCTCCTGCCCTAGTGGGAGGGCCCAAGGCCCCCAGCCACCCCGGCTTCCTCCCTAAGGCCCCAACCAGGCCCTGCGTCCACCCTATTGTCAAAACCAGAGCCACAGAGGACAGCTCAGTGTACCTTAACGCCCTCAGGGGGGGCAGGACCCCCGCTAGGGCTGGGCTTGCCCCGCAGGCCCCACAGGAAGTGGCGCAGGTAGAGGAGGTGCTGGTAGGTGCTGGCATCCAGGCAGTCCACCTCCAAGTCCACCTGGAAGCCCTCGCTTGGCAAAACGATGGGCGGCGGGTTCTCATAGGACTCCAGGACGTCCTCTGCGGGTCGGGGTGAAGACTGCTTGGCCACCGGGCCTGGAGGAGGCTGCCCGCCCCACCTGACACTAGGGGACCTGGGGACCGGCAGACTGACCTGACGAGGACAGTGGCGGGGGGGATCCAGGTGAGGGTGACCAGCCCACACTGCACTCTCGTCCCTTCTAGATCCCAGTGACCACCCAGATGAAGAACAAGACCCCATCTGCAGCTCTGGCCCCAGCGCCTGCCCACGCCCAGAGCTGAGCCCTCTCTGCCCGGAGTTTGCAGCCCTGAGCCAGCGCCAGATCCTCCGGGCCCCGGGCCCATGCACACTGCAGCCCCAGCAGCACGGGGGGTCGGGAGGGGACAGCCATTGGCACGCTGGCCACAGTTCCGGAATGGGAGTGGCCGACAGCAGGCTCTGCTCCCAGCGCTGGCCCCTTTCCGCAAGCTCAAGCTTCGGCTGTGAACTGGTAAGTGAGAGGGGTCCACGCCGTCCAGTAGCCTGGAGTCCTGCTCGGGGGTGGTCCTTGTGGCCAACCCCAGCTCCTGGGTGACAAGGGCGTAGCAGGTGGTGGCCAAAGCCCTACTGTATCTGTAACCTCTACCACCTTTCACTGTTTTTGTTATAATGTGCACAATGCCAATGAGATGCACGTTAAAACATACATACATGTGTGTACACGTCCACATGTATGGTGTGTGGGCAAAGCCCTACTGTATCTGTAACCTCTACCACCTTTCATTGTTTTTGCTATAATATGCACAATGCCAATGAGAGATGCACGTTTACTCTATAAAACATACATACATGTGTGTACATGTCTACACGTATGGTGTGTGTGCATATGTATGGTGCGCATGTATGTATGGTGTGTGTGCGTGTGTGTAGTGTATGTATATGCATGGTGTGTGTAGACATGTGTGGGATGTGTACATATATAAGGCACGTGCACATACGTACATTATGTTCATGTGTGCGGCATGTGTGTACATGTGTACGGTGTGTATATTGCAGTGTTCGTATGTGTGGTGTGTGTGCACGTGCACATGTGCACACATGCATTATATGTGTGTACATGTGTGTGGCGGTGTGTATATTGCAGTGTTCGTATGTGTGGTGTGTGTGCACGTGCACATGTGCACACATGCATTATATGTGTGTACATGTGTATGGTGTGTATATTGCAGTGTTCGTATGTGTGGTGTGTGCACATGCACGTGTGTGCACGTGCATGATGTGTGTACATGTGTGTGGCGTGTGTGCAGGTGTGCGGTGCATGTTCATATGTACGGCATGCATGTGTGGATGGTGTGTGCGCATGAGTGGCATGTGTGTACACGTGTACGGTGTGTGTGCACGTACACAGCATTATGTTCACATGTGTGGTGTGTGTACATATGTACAGCGTGCGTGTGCACGTGCATACATGGCACGAGTGCTCAGGAATGTTTTCCAACAGGCAGCACAGTGTCACCCCGCGTGGAGACCCTGCTCTCCTCCTGGTGGGTGGGGTACCTGGTGAGGCCCCATCCTCAGGCTCCATGAGGGGCAGGGGGACCTTTAACCTGAGCTGGGAGCTTGGCGCTTGGCCATGGACTGTGGGCTCCTTGACCCCCACCTGTGGAGGTTCCCAGGGACGGGCAGGGCAGGGCACCCCAGGAGGAAGATGGCCCAGGAGGGGCTGCCAGATGCTCCGCGGGCTCGTCCAGGGAAGTCCCCCAGCCTGGCCCCCAGAGCTCCGCAGTCCTGCCCGAGGAGGAGGCTCACCTGACTTGAAGGCATCGGGGCGGTCCTGGGCGCCTGGCTCCCAGGCGCTCATGGGGCCCACGGCCGAGGCCAGCTGGTACTGGGTCAGCAGCCGGTGCAGCTGCGCAGGGCTCAGGGCCGGGAACGCAGCCCGCAGGTTTGCCCAGCTCATCTAGGTGACAAGAAGGAGCTCGTGGTCAAGGCCCCGGATGGCTCAGCACACGCCCAGGGACCAGCACAGCTGGGTGCTCTAGGGACAGAGGCAGAGGGCTCCCGGCCACATGTCCTGAGCCAGCATGCAGATCCTCGCTGTCCAGGTGGGATGGTGAGGTCAGTAGGGGGTCACAGGCCCGGGCAGCAGGGCGCCCCACAGCGGGCAGCTGGCCCCTGGCTGCCTCGTGGGCATGCAGGCTGAGGGCCGGGTGGCGCAACCGTTCCCTGGAGAGGCCAGTGTCTGGCCCGCCGAATGTGCCCATCACATCACAGACCGCTGGGAGAGGGGAAAATGAAACGGGCCCCTGCATCACATGACGTAAAAGCCCAGCAGGTGAGAGATGCACGAAGGCCTCGTGCCACCACTGGGGGACACGTGAGAGAGCAGCCTTAGGAGCCTGGACGGGGCACGAGGCCTGAGGAAGGCCGGACCCCTGACCTGCACACCGCACTCACCTCGCCTTCCTCCCATCGTTCGGGGGCCCCCTTCCCCACTGCTGGAAGCCGCCCCTCTGCTCCCGCTCCTTCGTTAGGAGACAGGTCCCCAGGAGGGCCTGGCGGAAGCGTCTGCCCTCCGGCCTCACACGCGGTGTCAGGCGCCCGGCTGTCCCAGCGCTGGCCACGCCGTGTCGTTGGGAGCTGTGCTCCGGTCCTCCGGCTTCCCACACTGCTCCCCACGTGTCGCAAACCATCTGACGGCCGGTCCTCGGGGCACGTCACGCTCTCACTCCTCTCTGAAGCTGGCGGGTCTGTGTCTCCTGCGCTGGTGTCCACGGTGCCTGCACTGGGTGCGAGGCCCCTGCAGCCACGTGCCTTTTCATGGTGGCTGCGCTGGCGTCACGCCACCCGGGGTTGTCCTGCTGCGTCTTCAGCCTCTCGCCGCCGCTCCCTCTCTCTCTGGAGCCTCCAGTGTGGACGTTGGGCTTCGTTCACCGGTCCTTTGATTTTTTTTTCTTCTGTTTTTTCTTGCATGATTTTATAGCCGACATCAAGAGACCTGGGCTGTGGTTATCCAGTGTCCACACTGAAGGGACAACCAGTGTCCTCAGATTACGTGGGGAGGGGCAAAGGCCGACCCTGGGGACTGTCCTCCCAGCCCCCACCCCCTACCCCAGACACGCAGCGGCTCGGGTGAGCCGTGGTCTGCCTGGAGGTGGTTCTTTTCGATCGCTGAGTTCCCAGGCGCCGGGCTTCCCTCTCACGCCTGGGTTCTCCGGGGTGGTGTCCGGAGGGTCACCCGGCCGGGACCGCGCCTTCCCGTCTCCGCCTCACTGTCCCTCCACTTCTCGGGCGATTTCCTCGACTTTGTCTTCCAATTCTGCCGCTGAAGTTTTCATCTCTGCTGCTGTAATTTTAAGTTCCGAGAATTCTTTCTGTCCGCTCACTCACATGGATGTCTCATCTTCATGGGGATATGCGTGGCTTTTTTTAAAGTTTCTTCTTTCAAACTGTTGGCTTTAAAGGGTGGCAAACTACGGCTTGAGGCCTGTTTTTGCATGGCTCTCGAGCTAAGAATAATTTTCACATTTTTAAAGAGCTTAAAAAAAGAATAATAATTCTGGGCTTAGATGGATGTGGTCCACAGAGCCTAGAATATGTTCTTCCTGGCCCTGCACGGGAAGTGTGAGCTGGCACCCTGAGCCAGTGGGCGGCCGCCCGCCACCCACCCCACGCTGCTTTGCAGAGCCTTCGGCTTAGTTTTAAAGTCCTTCCTATCCATCCCACACCCTGAAGCTTCAGAGTCTTGTCAAACGTCAGGAGGGAAAACCACCAGGGCCCCTAGGGTACTGAGCATTTGTCCCCGTAGCCTGCGACGTGGCCCCGTCTCTCCCCAGCTCTGGATGAACCCCGGCCTCTCGGCCTCACAGAGCCTGCTCTCAGATGAGGCGTTTGCCCACAGAGGAAAAGCAACAGCGGAACAGCTCTGTAGTCCCCGCTCCGTGGGTCTGAGACCCCCCGGTCCCCGAGGCTTCAGGAGCTCTGTGGAGCCTTTAAACAGACTTTGCGTCTTGTTCTCAGCGCGAGGTGGGCTGACCCCAAGCCCAGCATCGCCAGCATCCCGGCTGCTCCTCCCCCGTCTTGGCCCATCTTCGCTCAGCTTCCAGGGGCCCCTGGTGCCAGCAACTCCTGAGCCTTCCGGTGGCTTCGTGGCCAACGGGGTCACTCCTCAGGAGTCGGCTCTCCCAGATCTGCCAAGGCAGTCGCCGCTCGCCCTCCACTTGCCACTTCTGAAGGTTTTCACCTCTGTATCTGTTTTCTCTGTCCTTACGGCGCAGGCCGTCGAAAAGCATCACTCTGCTTCAGGTTAGTGCTCTTTGGGGAGGAAACGAACCCAGTCCGTCCTAAATATCCCCACTGCCTGGATTTCCTCACGTCAATCCGCGTTTGACTTTTATAATGAAAAATAACTTAAAAAAAAAAAAACTGAATACAACATACAGTTCCTGACGCGTGAGAAATTCTGTGTCTGCTGAAGTCAGTGGCCCCCAGAGCCTGCACGGAGTCTTGGCTCCATGAGGCGCTGGCTGTGTGACCTCGGCTTGGCCATCGTGAAGCAGAGGCACAGCCGGGCCCCCCGCACAGACGTGCAGTGGCGAGTAAATGAGGGGCACATGCAAAGCCGTCTAGACTCGCAGCTGCTGCCTCCACCGCTGACAGTCATGGCGGACGCACACGTGAGACTTTCCAGGTTTCGATCCTTGGGTAGAGTGGTCGCTCCGTTTCTTAATACCAGACTGGAAGGTCCACTGTCCCCTCACGTCACACGGCACGGGCTACGCCGGAGTCAGCTTCGGGCTTTGGCTGGAGATGGCGAAGGAGCCGCACTGCCCGCCTGGTTCCAACACTCCCCTCTGCAGACGGCCCTGTACTCACTCGCTGTCATTCCCGGGTCACGTCCGGGGTCTGCGCCAGGCAGGCAGGGAGCACCGTGGCTCTGTGACGACTGTGTCGGGCAGCTGGGGCAGGGCGGGGGGGCGGTGAGTCAGGCTCCTGGTGCGGCTGTAATCGGTGGCCGCAGACACAGCAGAGCGACACAGACGCGCACTCGCGGTTCTGGGCTCGCACGTCCGGCCCGCGTCGCACTGGGCTGCAACCGGGGTATCAGCAGCTCCGCGGTCCTTCTGGAGGCTGCAGGGCAGGGCCCGGCTCCTTGCTCACCTGGTCGTCAGGATTCAGCTCCGTGCACGTGGAGGGCAGAAGTTCTCATTTCCACGCTGGCCTTCGGCTCAAGGCCATTCTCGGTTTCTGGAGGTCCTGGCCCAGGGCCTTTCCTCCACCCTCAGAGCCAGCGACAGTGGCCGAGTCCCTGCTCCCTCTGTCCTGTCTCTCTGACCCTCTCCTCTGCCTCCGTCGGCCACTCTGAAGGTCTCCTGTGCTGAGAGTGGCCCCCGGGGTAACCCAGGGCGATCCCTCCATCTCAGGCCCTTAACCCTCTGCCTCTGCAGACCCCCTACCCCAGCGAGGTCGCAGGGGTAGGTCAGGGACTGGGCACATTGTTGGGCCACTTCCCTGCCTATGAGCCGGGTCCATGGCCCCCGCCTGGCTTGCCGGCCGGCGACCCAAGAGTGACGACAGTGGCCCCCACCCCCACTGCCCGTTCTGCGTCCTCCTACCTGGATGAGCTGGGCGCGGGGCGTGGCCAGCAGGTTGAGGGTGCAGGAAAGCTTCCGGAAGAAGCGCTCTCCCGCGCCCCCGAAGCCGGCGCTCCTTGTCCAGTCCAGGAGCTGCTGCAGCCGGGTGCAGGCCTGAACGCCTCTGGGCCAGTGGAAGCAACTCAGAGATGGGCCTGGGGGGGCAGGGCAGGTGAGGCCGGGGCTGCCCACCCTCCCCCAGAGGGAGCCGAGCCCTGGCCAGCTGGTCCCCTGTGCCTATGCTCCCCCGACTCCAGGCCTCAGAGGACAGACATGAGACCTTCTGCTGGTTTCCAAGGCAACTAACCCGCTTCTGGGCTCCTCTCTGAGAGGAAGTAGGGGTGAAGACGGCAGGTAGGGGCTGTGACAGCCACCGAATGCCAAGTACAAAGGATCATGGTCCAGGCCTAAGCGGAGATTCTGCCCCATGGACCCCGCCCCAGCCCGGGAAGTCCACCTGGCGACACACATTCCGGGGGTTCGTCCCTGTGCTCCTGTCCCTGCCCCCAGCAGCCAGGCCCCGAGGCAGGACCCTGACCGTGCACAGCGTCCCCCAGGGGTGCGCCCGGCCGGGCCTCACCCTGGTCCAGCAGCTGGTTGAAGAGCAGAGTGCCGGAGAAGAAGAAGAGGTAGGCCAGCACCTGGGAGGCGATCTCGGGGTGCACCTGGAACTGCCGCAGGAGGTCCAGGGTGGCCTGGTAGACAGACACGACGCGGCGCAGCTCCTCGGGCAGCTGGGGGGCCGAGCACCAGCTCTCCCGGCGCTCCATCTGGAAAGGGGGGCCTTCCAGCAGGGCCGGGAGGCAGACGTACAGGGACTGGGGCGACAGGAAGCTGCGCTGTGGCTGACGAGCGTGCCGGGCCGGTCACCCTCCCGCCACACAGCCACAGCCGGGGCTGCCCCAGGACCCAGGGGCTGATGATCCTGGGAGGCATGCAGGTACCCCGAGGGTCAGAGGGACAGGAGGCTCGGCCCCTCCCGATTATCAGTTTTATTAAACGGTGGCGTGGCGGGTGGGCACCTTGAGGGGATCACCCACAATTGGAGGGGTCTCCTTAGAACAAAGGGTGACTGTCATATTTGGCCCCTGAATAGACAGGACAAGCACTCCCTAGTGACAGCCAAGTCGGCAGACACGTGCTCTGGGCCACCAGACACCATCCTGCAGGCCCTCAACATGCTCAGCCAGGGACACACAGAACCCCACTATCCGGGGGACCCCAGGGCACAGAAGGGGACATGCCGAGGCCAGGAGGCTATGGAGCCGCCAGGGGCATGGGCCTGGCTTGTGTCCAGGACTGACCGCTGCTCAGCTTGAGACTCCTGAGCCAGGGCAATGACTGACCGGCTCTGGGGCCGCGAGCTGCTGACCACCCGCTCAGCGTGCTGGGGCAGTGTGTCCAAGGGCAGAGCCACGGCCACCGCGGCCCAGCACCACCGCACGACCACACCACCTGCCACATGGTTTTCCCCAGAGCGGCCGCCCCCTGTCTCTCCCACCCAGCTGGCCCCCATGTCGGGCCTGGATGGCTCATGGGACAGAGTGACAGTGAGCCAGGAGAGAGAGACTGGAAGCCGGGGGTCAGGTGACGAGTGGGAAAAGCACGTCGCCCCTCCCAGTTCCCCGAGATGCCCCCCACCCCCGCCCCGCAGAGAGCGGGAGGACACGGCCGCCCCTCCCGGACCCCCCGCCCACGTGGGCTGCGGGCTCACCTTGGACACGTAGTACACGCATTGCTGGAAGGCGCACAGCACGGCCTCCTCCAGCACCGCCATGGCCTCCTCGCTGGCCGAGAGCGCGCAGGAGAACAGGGACTCCCTCGAGCCTGCGGGGCACAGCGGCACAGGTGCTACTGAGGGGGCAGCTGGCCTCGGTGCTCAGGAGCAGGAACCTTCCGGAACCGCAGCGACTTCGAACATCTGCGTGTGCTCGCCCAACGCTCCCATCTCAGGCCTGCGAGGCGAGGTGCTGCACAGGTCCCTCCACCGTCACTTAAAACCACCCGAAACACTTCGCCTGAGCGCCAGGCTCTGCGGGGGGCCTCGCGCTGAGCTGACGCCCACATGAGCCTCTCGGTCAGCGGCCGGCAGCCTTCCTCTCCCTCCAGCCCACACCAGATCCCGAGGCCCAGGATGGAGGCCGCCCGTCTGGGCACCTGAGGGACCCCCATAAGTCTACAGGTGCTGAGGCAGAGCCTCAAAGACTTAGAGGAGGATTTTAAGTGGGTAAAATAAAATGTCCCCCCTCTCCCACACACACACACCCCGTTCTGGATGAGCACGCGGACGAAAAGGCCGTCTGGGAAACGGAAACGCGACTCCTCCAGCTTTCAGACGTGACACGTGCTCTCAGGGTTCTTCCCGCAGACCCCTCCCGCTGAGGGTCTGCAGGCCGGAGCGCCGGCCCCGCGCCCCTCAGGCAGTGTCTTCTTCCTGAGCTCTCGAGCGCCCGCCCCACACGGGACACTGTCTCTGGGCCTCTCAGACCCTGCCGCGGCTTCCCCCGCTGGCCACGTGCTCCCAGCTCCCAGCACCGACCAGGCTACGCGACAGCCGGCCCCCGACCAAAAATAACTTCCTCCTAAGACTAGAGACAGCAGCTAAGGAAGCGGTGACCCCGTCACCCCAAGCAGCTTTTCCCATGAAAATCAGCCAGACGCCGCTCAGCCCATGCTCACTTGGCCTGGGCAAGGCCGGCCCAGAGGGGTCCCCAGACCTGCAGGCAACAGGAAGGCGTCAGCAGGACTCGCCAGTGGACGCTGTGCCTACAGGTCACAGTGCGGGGCAGCTGTCCCATCTGACTTTCTGCTGGAGCCAAAATAAATGGGACTCCCTGAGGACGTGCCCCACCCCGACGTGGCACAGAGGGACAGACAACATGAACTTGGAGGCAGCCCAGAGGCCCAGGTCCTCGCTGGCCAACGCCGAACCCACGAGAGCCCCCCACCCAAGTCCCACTGTGGCACCTGCGACGCTGGTCCTGGGTAGCTGAGGAGACCAGTGGGGTTTGGGGAGAGGCGTGGCAAGAGGCCAGGCGTGAGCACGGGATCCAGGAGCGCCAGGCTCGGGGCCGGGCGGGCCCACGTCACACGCGGGGCAAGCCGGATCGCGGGCTGCTCCAGATGCGGGCCTTGTGGACAGCGAGGGCAGTGGCCCATCCCGGGAGGTCTAACTGGACGCCTTTCACAGTACCCGCCCGAGGGGAGCTTGGGGTGGGGGCAGCAGGCCAGCAGTCCCGGGATGCCCCCCGGGATGCAGGAGGACCCAGCACTCCCCATCACACCCATGGGAGCCCAGATGCCACGGCGGGGAGCCTGGGAAAGTCCACTGTGAAGCACAGGGTGAGAAAGTGCAGGCAGCCAGGACTGACAGGAAAGCACACGGACCCCGCCATGTCCCGGGCCCCGCTGGACACCCACGGGGGCCCGGACCCCCAGCCCCATGCGCTCGGCCTGGCCAGCTGGCCCTCACTCCAACCCAACCCCACAGCCCAGCTCAGAGCAGCCGCCTGAGCACAGGCCTCGGGAACAGAGTGGGACAGCTGGCACCCCAGGCCGCGGCCCCCACCGGCGAGGTCCAGGACCCGTGCTGTTTATCCAGGCACAGCTGAGCACACAGAGATGCTGTGCTGTGTCTGGCAGCCCCAGCCTATGGGGAGCCCCGGCCGGCCCGTCCTGCCTGCCTGGCTTCCCTCCCGGCCCCCCGGCCCTGTGCACGTCCCGCTGCTGCAGCACCCCCAGAGGCAAGGCCGCGAGGCCACACCTGCACCGGACGCCCTGCAGCTTCTGGTACAGTCTGGGAACAGGCCACAGGCCCACAAACAGGGGGAAGGGACGGGATGTGAGTGGCTTTGTTTTTGCCACAACTCCTCAGGCAAAACCAAGCTCTCTGCGTGAGGCTGCGGCCTCAGCCCTAGGTGTCCAGCTGTCGTCGCATCGTGTCCCACGACGGACCGTCCTGTATTCTGTCTCGGCTTCGTCCCAGGGCCCACCACGCCTCCCCAGGCTCCACACTATCTTCGTCAGACACACACAGCAGCTGAAACCCCACGTGGACCTCAGGGCGCAGCCAAACGCCACCTTCCTCGTGAAGCCCTCCCAGACTACCCCGGCCAGAGTCACCCTCTCGCTTGGTGTTCTCAGCGCTTTACACGGATGCTAAGACGCACATCATCGCCGAAATCGGCATGCAGCACACCGCTGTGCCGCGCTCACTGGCGACGTGCCTCGCTGTGGCTCAGGGCCACTGCAGTCCCTGCGCTGGTGCTCGACTGAGTGACCTGTGTCCCCCTGGGAGGATGGCACTTGAAATGACAGGGACAGAGTGCCAACGCGCCGTGGACAACAGGGGCCAGGATAGCCTGTCGGTGACACTGCCCCCTCAGAGAAAGCCCCCAACACAAACCCATCCCTGTTCCAAAGGCCAGCTCTGCCTGCGACAGCTCGTCGACACCACAGGGACCATGCTCCCCGGGCCCGGGAGTGCGCAGCAGGTGCACGACACGAGCCATACCTGTGACGTCCAGCTCCTCCTCCAAGCTCTGCATGTACAGCGGGCACTGCTGCTGGATGAAGTACAGGAGCTCGATGGCATTGGACATCCAGAAGAGAATGTGCTGCAGGTCCGGGACCAGGCCAGCCAGGGAAGCGCTGGCCGAGGAGGCGGGCTCCGGGCTGCCACGACAGAAAGACCGCGAGTCACACTGGGCCCAGCGCTCTGCACGAGGACGTTGGTTCAACGTGACGCCAGCAAAAACGACGACGTGCCGGCCTGCCGAGGCGAGGCTGGGAAATCAGAGGTCGGCACACAACCCGTCGGGCACCGGACGGCCAGAGGCTCATCCACGAACCCCGGCAGGACCACCAGGGGCCACCGCCGGTGGTGAGGGACTCTGGTGACACATCATCCCCTATCTTCTCTTTTGGAATTAGCCCTTAAAGTCGCTGTGAATGTCGGCGTGCGTGCGTGTGTGTGTGTGTGTGTGTGTGTGTGCGTGTGCGTGTGTGCGCGCGCGCGTGTGTGCATGTGCATGGGGCGGCGGGGTCTGCTATCCTTCCTGGTGTGCCTCGAGTGGGGCAGGGGTCGTGGGTGTCGGAGTGGCCGGAGTCCTGGAGAATCAGGCCCACCAGGAAAGCTACCAGGCGCGTTGGTGGCGGGGCTTGTAAGAAAGGGCCAGGAGGGCCGGGGCCTGCCCTTCCTCCAGCCTGCCCCGCCTCCCGCAGCGGTTCTGTGGTTCCCTCTGCCATCAGTCACTTCCCCTTTGTCCCCAGTGTGACCTCCCTGGCGAGGGGAGGCACTGGCCTCAGGCCGGCTCCCCGTTCTCGCTGCTAAGTAGGCCTGTGGCCTCACGGCCTGGCCCACCCGCTTATCTCCCAGAGCTCAAAATCCAGCCCCTTTTCGTCCCCCCTCCACACCCATCTGAATGACGCACATATGTGCGCACAGGCATGAAGAGTCTGTGTCATTACTAAAGAGTTAATCTGCTCTTCAGAGCCTAATTCCACTTTGTGTTCACTATGTACTGTCCTTCTCGGTTTTCACCCAGAACTCAAGGCACAGAAAGGCCTCTGCTGGAACCAGACCACCAGTATCACTAACTGGCGTTTCGGTGCCAGCCCAGCGAGGTCAACTCTGAGTGCACGCCACCCGCCAGCCCCGGCCGCACGCCGCGGGGCACCGACAAGGCACAGCAGGACTGTCCTGCCCCCTCGGAGAGCACCGCGTGGGGACAGCCGCTTCATAGATCTGATAGCAAAGGCACAGGCAACAAAGCAAAACCGACAGGTAGGACCACATCCAACCGGAAGCCGCTGCCAGCAAAGGCAACGCGGAGTGGGGAGGGCCTCTGGAATGAGAGAGATGCAAATCGCGTGTCAGATGACGGGTCAACTTCCAAAATATAAAGGAACTCCTACACCTCGAAAGCGACAAAACTAATAACCCCATTAGAAAACGGGTAGACATGTCTCCAAAGAGAACACACACACGGCCACCAAGGATGTGAAAAAGCGCTCTGCACACTCATCAGCAAACCAAAACCACAACGAGACGCCACCGCACACCCGTCAGCATCACTGTAATCCAACGGACAAGAAACAGCACACGTGGGCGAGGACGCGGAGAAGAGGGAGCCCTCGCACTCGGCTGCTGGGGATGGCGCAGCCGCTGTGGGGAACAGCATGGAGGGTCCTCAAAAATACCCAGCATACTCTTCTGGGTATTTGTTCAAAAGAACCGGATCAGGATCTCTGAGATACCAGCGCCCCACGCCCAGGGCGGCGCCGCCGACGGCCACCACGTGCGGGATCAAACCCGTAGTCCTTCGACAGGCAAGCGGATGAACGGCATCCAGCATCCGATGCCACGGAAGGCGGTTCGGCCTTAAATGAAGAAGGAAACCCCGCAACGCTCAACGACATGGTGAACCCTGGACATGGGACACTGAGTGAAGTAAGCCAGTCACAGGGGACAAATGCTGCGTGGTCCCACTTAGGCAAGACATCCGAGACAGGCGGCTCCTGGAACCAGAGGGAACGGTGGTGGCCAGGGGCTGGGCTGGGGGAGGGAGGAGAGGGGAAGTCGCTAATTGAGGAGCGAAACGTCTCAGTCACGCCAGCTCGTGAGTCCCAGAGGACTGCTGGGCAACGCCGCCCACAGTCAGCGGAGCTACGCTGTGCGCTTAAAAGTGCATTAAGAAAAAGGGCAGTTGTCACGTTACGCGTTCTCACCACAGTAAAATAAAAATAAACTGGATCAAAGCAACGTTCCGATGTAAAAAAATTAAATCCACTTGGAAGCATATAGCGGAGAAACTACTACTAAAAACAACATCAAATGCATTTTGTTATTAAAAATGAAATAAAAATCAAAAAACTACCAAAACAACTCATGAATCAAGAAAGAAACTAAAATTGAAATCATACAAGGGTAAGGAAATCATAAAGAAGTTAATAAAATAGAAAGCAGAGAAAAAGTAACCGGAAACAACAAAATGAGTTCTTTTAGACAGAAAATACCAGACGAATGCCTGGGAAGATAAATCGAAGGAGGGAGAGAAGAGAAAAGGTATACAGGGCCGTACTGCAAATATCCTGAGATTAAGAAAGTCATAAGAAAACAGAATGAACGATTTTATCCCAGTGACTCTGAAAATACATGCAATAGATGATTCGTAGGAAAGTAAAAACGACCGAAATCAACGCAAATGGAAAACCAGATAAACCAATGATCACGAAAGGAACGGAATCAGCACAGGGAGGTCTCCGCCCCGGCGGGCAGCACAGGAGTTGGCGGCCCAGTTCCACGAACCTGAGGCCCAGCGTGCTCATCCCCCGGCCAAGTGGCTCATGGGTCTGAAAACAGGCACAGCCCCCCGATTCGTGTCCTGTGAGCCTTGTCATTAGAATCACACACGGACAATACAAAAAAAAATTCACAGACCAACGAATTCCGACAGGAAAACCCTGATTAGAATGTCAACAAAGTGCAGCTTGCGATGCTGAAAAAATCTATAGTCAGGAAGGGTTTAATCCTGGGAATTCGATCGGGGTTCAGAAAGCCTCCTGACGCAGCGCCCACGTCCACAGACCCACGGAGAAAACGCGTGATGGCCGCCACCGATGCAGAGAAGCATCGAGTAACATTCAGCCATTCGCAACCCGAAAAGGAGCACATGACACCGAGACCTGTGTAAACGGGGCAAAATGGTAATACGATTCAATTCAAGTGTGGGTTCGTGGGTAATTGATATATTCTGTACTCTTCTGCATTTGGGAAGTGATTTATAACACTTAAAAAAAGAGAGCGAGCCAGCGAGCATTCCCTGGGGGCGAACACAGGGCTGTTCTCAGGCCCTGAC